GGGTCTACGGTATTTGTGGTGCTTGATGCCAAACGTTTCCTACGAGGTTTGAATAACTTGTACCCCCCTTCCAAGTTGCCTCTAACCCAATGGAGTTTAACCTTGGTGTTGACTAAGTTAGTTCATAAGCACTTTGAACCTTTAGCGACATGTGAATTATCTTTTCTTTCCTTTAAGTTAGCCTTCATCATTGCCATCACTTCTGTTAGATGAGTCAGCGAGTTGGCGGCGCTCTCCATAGAGCCGCCGTTCCTCCATATACACAAGGATCGAGTGGTCCTCAGGCCACATATAGATTTCATCCTGAAGGTGGTTACTGGGTTTCACCTGACTCAAGATGTGGTGCTTCCTGTATTTTTTCCCAATCACTCTTCATTAGCTGAACGTTACACTCGTTAGGTGTTAGACAGGCTCTGCTCTTTTATCTACACAGAACCCGCCCCTTCCGTGAGTCAGCAGCCTTATTTGTATGCTTTGGTGGCCCTAACAAGGGTAAAGCAGCCTCCTCACAGACCATCTCTAGAAGGATTTGTAAAGCTATTCAATTGGTGTATGATGTGCAGTGGGTGTGCAGTGCCCCCTAGTGTTGTCGGCACATTCCACACGGGCTCAGGCCTCGTCCGCAGCCTTCTGGTCTGGTATACCGGTTCTCGACCTCTGCCGTGCTGCTACTTGGTAAATACCTTCGACGTTCATCAGACATTATGCCATGGACATCAATGCACGGAGAGAAGCAGCAGTGGGCATAGCGGTGCTACAGTCTATTTTTCGCTGAGACTTCCCACTCCCTCCTCCAAAGAAAGTCAACTTGCTATTCTCCCATGTGGGACTGCACAGAAGCCTTAAAGATGAGAACAGGGGTTGCACTTACCTGTAACCATTGTTCATCAAGAGGGCTTCTGTGCAGGCACACATCCCTCCCTCCTTCCCCCTCTGTGGGAGTCTCGTGCGCCGAGGTGGCAACAGAAGGAGAACTGAGGGAAGAGAGCAGGCTCCTCCCAGGTCAGGTGACTTTTGGGCAGGAAATCTCTCCCTGGAGAGGAAAGTGACTCTCTTGGGAAGAAAACTGTAGTAAAAGCTCGCTAGTTCCTCTCGGTGGCTGGCCCGTAGTACTGCAGTCCCATGTGTGCCTGCACAGAAGCCCTCTCGATTAACAAAGGTTACAGGTAAGTACAACCCCTGTTTTATTCCTGTTTGGTCCTTGAATCCGTTAAACATCTTCATTGTGCTGATTTGCTGCTCACTCTCTACTTATATGTATGGGCTGGTAATTTCCATTTAGTTGTCTCTAAAGAAGCGTGCATGCACACGAAAGCTTATACCTTGAATAAAACTTTGTTGGTCTTAAAGGTGCCACTGGACTCAAATTTTGTTTTGCTGCTTCGGATCAACACAGCTATCCACCTGATTTTATTTTGTTTTATTTATTAGCCATTTTTCTAATATGTCATGAAAGCCTATAAATGCTATTTAGATGTTTTTCCGTTTTTCTTTTTCGAAAAATAGCTCTTCTGAAAAGCTTTTATACTAAAACAAAAGTATTTCATAGTGTGCATGTATGTGTGGGCAAGTGAATGAATAAGCAAACGTGCATGTGAGCTTGTAAAGCAATTACTGCTTGTCAAGCCGATCTGCACCACTGCGTCCAATCAGCACCACCTGCTGTCTTTTATGTCTTACCAGGGCTAAGTAATGTTCCTCAAACAGGCATTCTGAAGAACCGATGAAAAACACCTAGCTATCACACACATCATTAACTAAGTAACACATATGGGGGGGGGGTGTCCCATGTAAGAGACACAAAGCCTGGTCAGCCAAAGTCATCTTTACCTTTAGTAGTACAAGGACTACTAAAAACCATGTAAATAAAATTTTGCTTTAATTCACTATAACCACAAAAGATCTTCTCTGTGACATGGGTAGCCCCTTAACTTGTTTTTGACACTCTTCCCACAATGCCTGAGAGCCAGTGCTGGCATCAGCAGTGGATGGGGTGAGGCAGATGCCGATGCCTATCACTGATGTGAAATAATTTTCCTCGCATTGCAGAGTTTACATCACAGTAAACTGGAAACTGGCAACTTTATTATTTTATGGTGTTGGATGATAAGCTTTCTTCAAAGAGCCAAGGGGCAATTTCCCCACTCTAAAATATACATTCCCCCTCTCCTTGTTAACAGCAAATCAGTGGACATCAAGGAGAATTTTTTAGAATTTCTTCATGTCACAGATAAAACAGGGGAAAGATCTTGCGAGCATTGTGTTGGGCAAGGTGATTGAAAAGTATAGATTGTTGTTATCTAATATTTTTGGCCAGTACTGGAATAATGGTGCCAAAGAACCATTGTTCTAGAAGAAAATCCCCAAGCATTTTTTGTACCTTGTTCTCACCAAAACTGAAGTGTTGATGCATATTGCAGACAGTTGTAGCCAGGCAATTTTTTTTGTAATTATTTGTTGTTGTTGTTCAGTCACACAGTCAAGTCTGACTCTTTGTGACCCCATGGACCACATCATGCCAGGCCCTCCTGTCTTCCATCGTCCTCCGGAGTTTGCTTAATTTCATGTTCGTTGCATCAATAACACTGTCTAACCATCTCATTGTTTGCTATCCCCATCTTCTTTGACCTTCAATCTTTCCCAGCATCAGGGTCTTCTCCAGTGAGTGCTCCTTTCTCATTTGGTGGCCAAAGTATTTGAGCTTCAGCTTCAGTATCTGGCCTTCCCGGGAACAGTCAGGGTTGATTGCCTTTAGGATTGACCGATTTTATCTCCTTGCAGTCCAAGGAACTCTCAAGAGTCTTCTCTAGCACCATAATTCAAAAGCATCTCTTCTTCAGTGTTCAGCCTTTCTTATAGTCTCTTGCAGCCATGCATCACTACTGGGAATACCATTGCTTTGACCATACGGACTTTTGTTGGCAGGGTGATGTCTCTACTTTTTATTATGCTCTCAAGGTTTGCCATCTCTTTCCTCCCAAGGAACAGGCGTCTTTTAATTTCATGGCTGCAGTCACCATCTGCAGTGATCTTGGACCCCAGGAACGTGAAGTCTGTCACTGCTTCCATGACTTCTCCTTCTATTTGCCAAGGAGTGATGGGGCCGGATGCCATGATCTTAGTTTTTTTGATGTTGAGTTCCAAGCCAACTTTTGTGCTTTCCTCTTTCACCCTGAGCAAGAAGCTCTTTAGGTCCTCTTCACTTTCTGCCATTAGAGAGGTATCGTCTGCATATCTGAGGTTGTTGATGTTTTTCCCGGCAGTCTTAATTCCGGCTTGTGATTCAGCCAGGCCAGCATTTCATATGAACGTGTAATTATTACATCACATGTATCCATTTTTTTCTGGAGAAGCAAAATCTGGGAATTGGCCTTAAAGCATTTGCCAAAGCTGATCCTGAAAGCTCTGTCTCAGGTATCTTGGAGTTGTACATGTTGGAGTAGATGCTGTCAAGTCAGTTATTGTTGCATTTGCCATAACTAGTCAATGCATAACAGGTGCTTTCTCGTGGTACACATGTTGATCATTATGCATACACACAGGCCATAAATATACTTGGCCATCTTTGTATGCAGTTAGAGGCTCAAGACAGTGAAATTTGCAATAAATATCTTTGTTCCCTACTAATCCACAATAAAACAAATTATAGTAGCCAGTCATCTTTTAAAATTTGTATTGAAAATCTGTTTACAGCATTCCTTAAGTAAGGTAAAGGTAAAGGTTCCCTTGCTCGAAAGCCAGTCGAATCCGACTCTAGGGTTGCGGTGCTCATCTCCGTTTCAAAGCCGAAGAGCCAGCGCTGTCCGAAGACATTTCCGTGGTCATGTGGCCGGCATGACTAAACACCAAGGTGCACGGAACGCTGTTACCTTCCCACCGAAGTGGTCCCTATTTATCTACTTGCAATTTCTTGCTTTCGAACTGCTAGGTTGGCAGGAGCTGGAACTAGAGACAGGAGCTCACCCTGTCTTGCGGCACCCGGGTCTTGAACCGCTGAACTACTGACCTTCCACAGCCTGCAGTTCAGCGTCTTAACCACTTGAGCCACCGCAGCTCCATACTTAAGTACCTTAGAATAAAGTGTGGGACTGGGTATGCTAATGTACATAAGTAGTGTAGGTGATGTGCAAGTAAGCTTAGGGTAGCATGAACTCCAAGCTGGCTGGGAAGGGAACATCCCTTTGATTCGAGTCCTGGTGTTTCTTTCTCTTCCTCTTAATGTTAAACTCTGCTGACACACACTGTCAGCTGATCACACTGCAACTTATTTCTAAATCCTGGACAGTCCCATTACAGAGATAAATGTAAACACAAAACAGCTGTCTTTCTGCTTTTGGAAATGGGTAAATGAAAAACTGATACATCATCAGGATTCACCACTTTTTAAAATGTGCACAGATACCGTCCAAAGAGATTAAAAACCAGATGTCATTTTTCTTACAACTCCTTTCATGTTAAACTGCTGACCTATGAAATGTGGGTAATTGAAAGTTAAGAACAGAATGCATAAAACAGATTTCCTACTTTTCATAAATTTGCTTAGGTTATTTAAAGCTGTTCTCTGTCACATTTTTTCTCTAAATATGGTAGGTGCTATAATCAAGTTATCATTTTCCCCCTCCTTCTAAATACCATTTACCTCTTCTTGCTTAAGTACATGTCAACATACTAGTCTTGTGATCTTTCAAAGATCCATGTATATAACAGAAATGCATAGCTTCAGAAAGTACTTTTGCATTTACTTGCAGAGACTCTGTGTTGCAAGGAGCACTAATATTAACCTTCAACTCATGAAGTTTTTAGCTTCCTGTGACTGTAACATCAAGATAGCAGTTCTTTGTTTTGAAAAATAAACCCTTTTTTCTTTAATGCCAGATTACATATTCCAGCTAGGTGTCTTGTTTTATTCCTTAATCAGTTTGCTTCCGATAGCATTTACTTATCTCCTCAAAGATGATGGAATAAAAAGTCATTGTAACTAATAATTTATCTTTTAACAGGATGGTAAAACAGCAGAAGACCTGGCTAGAGCAGAGCAACATGAACTTGTAGCTAGCCTCCTTGCAAGGCTAAAAAAGGTAAGGAAATGAATGAAGAATTCAGTCCAGCTTCAGGCTTATTCTTACATCAAAAGATATTATGAAAAATGGATAAAAACTGTGCATCTGGCTGGGTATCTGATTCTTCTCTTATTTTAATGAGCTCCATAAAACTATTAACTGCAGCCAGTGTTCCCTCTAAGCTGAGTTAATGTGAGCTAGCTCACAATTTTTTAGCCTCCAGTTCACAGATTTTTGTCTTAGCTCAGGAAGGACAGCTCCCGAGCAAACTGATTTATGCAGTCCCCAAATCGCTCGCTCACAACTTTAAGGCTTGTAGCTCACAAAGTAGAATTTTTGCTCACAAGACTCTACAGCTTAGAGGGAACATTGACTGCAGCTAAAATTTTGTTAGCCCAAAAATGGTAGATGGGACTCCCATAGTTAGGGGCAATGGTTTTTGAAAATATGGGACTTTATATGGATAAACTATCGGACCAGTTTTTGATTACTGAAAGCTCTTACTATCAGTCACACTTTATGGAAAAATGGTTCTCCTTTTTTGATTATATATCTAACACTGCTACAAAAGAAGGTACTCTGCCTGGGAAATATGTTCAGTTTTCTTTCTAGTAATGACATTGTTGCATGGTATCACTCTTCTCAGTTTGACAATATGTTTATTGGTTGTTTTTTTAGTTAAGATATCAATATCTGTATTTTCTATTGTTCTATCTTACTATTATTTATAAAATTAATAAAAATTATTATTACAAAAAACCATAAATTCTTTAATTACTGTACTATCTAAGAACATTGCCATTCTAGCTGCATCTGAGAAAGTGAACAGTGACTCACGAAAGCTCACACCCTGCCACATATTTTGTTAAGTCTTTAAGGTGCTACTGGACTCTTGCTCTTTTCTACTGCTACAGACAGACTAACACGGCTACCCATCTTGAACAAATTTTTAGTCTTTCAGGGTTACCTGACCAGAAACACAAAGGACATTCTGCTGTCACAAAATACTGACTCCACCGCTGGCTCAGTATTGAAAATTTGTGAGTTATGAGCCTCAGGCTAGGATACATTTTGGGATAATGTAACGAACTTTCAGACTTGACAGGGTAAAAGACGGAAGTGTAGGATATGTACTGAATAGGTGCATCTGGTTCCCTAAAATACTGTAAGCTGCTTTTTTAGATTCTAAGGACATTTAAAAGCAACTTCTATTGCAGGAATCCTCCATTGGTGGGAAACAGGGTGAGAGAGCAGTGTGGGAAGTCAGCATTACATTGGTACTTCATACAAATCCATATCTCCATCTTGGACTTTAAGCAAAAAAATAATTGCTTTGTAGCCTCCTTGTGCATTTACTGTGCACTCCTGTACAGAGTTACGTCTTCAGTTGGCTTAAACTCTGGACAGGATTGCAAAGTGAGTCAGACTGACTTCAAAATTATATGTATATTTGTGCTTTTAGGACACTCACAGAACACTGTTCATCCAGCATCTTCGACCTACTCATAATCTACAGCCGAGAATAAAACTTAAGCTCTTTGGTCACTCTGCATCTGGTAAAACTACTCTTGTGGAGTCTCTAAAGTGTGGCCTCCTGAGAAGCTTTTTCAGAAGACGCAGACCAAGGATTTCTTCTACAAACTCAGTCAGATTTCCTCCTTCACCTTTATCTAATAAGCCATCAGGTACTACTTTTAAGATTCTTATTTTGTACCTTATAATAAAAAATTATTGTTTTTATTTTTAAAGATTTGGGCATAGAGGTCATAGTTACATCAGTAGTGATACGTAGTGCATGATATTATCCCATATCATGCTCTGATAGTTGTCCACTAGAGGGAAATCTGGATGGGGTGCATTTTTCTAGTACCTAAATACTGCTTTTTGAATATTGAGAAAAAAAGCAATATTGCTGCAACAAACATCCAGTCTGCAGTTATATATTTCTGTATCCCTGCAATAAAACTATCCTAGGTCCAAAATATCTCCTAGCAGAGACAGAGACTGGAGCTGTTGTAGCTCAGCAAATCTACAAACTAAATAAAGCGGCTTCTAGCCTTCAGTTTCTTTTTCAGGGCTAATATCTAAAGCAGGGGTGTCAAACATATGGTCCGCGGGCCAGAACAGGCCCACCTGGTAAAACACCCACACACACACACTGCTGATAAAATCATGCTGTCTGTTGGGGTTGGCAGTGTAAAGGGCGGCTCTCTCCAGTGGCTCTGATCAGTGCTTCCTCTCTGCTCTGTTTTTCCCCATGGCCGGGAGGCTGCCTCATGTGCTTTCATTTACAAAAGCTTGATTGGTGGGTCCCCGTGACCCTGCTGGACTTTTCCCACTGGCTCCAGTCAGCTGCTTCCTCTCTGTATTGTCCTTCCCCCTGACCAGGAGGCTGCCTCGTGTGCTTTTGTTTATAAAAGCCCGATTGGTAGCTTCCCCTGACCCTGGGCTTTTCCCATTGGCTCCAATCAGCTGCTTCCTCTCTGCTCTAACCTTCCAGAGACTGCAATCTGCAGTTCTTGCCTGTGTCCAGTGTTCCCTTTGAGCTGAGTTAGTGTGAGCTAGCTCACAATTTCTTAGCCTCCAGCTCACACATTTTTGTCTTAGCTCAGGAAGGATGGCTCCAGAGCAAACTAATTTATGCAGAAGCCAAATCCCTCACTCACAACTTTAATGCCAGTAGCCCACAAAGTAGAATTTTTGCTCGCAAGACTTCACAGCTTAGAGGGAGCATTGCCTGCGTCATTTGTTTATGAACACTTGCAAGAGGTTCAGTGTGATCTGCAGTTCTTTCCCCCCTGAATGTGATCAGTTGCGATCAGCTCTGCCGGCTGAAGCCTGCAGTTTTTTGTTTACATACACTTGAAAGAGGTTCAGTGCGATCTACAGTTCTCCCCTCCCCCCCATCTGATCAGCTGCACTCGTCTGTGGCAAGTTGCTTTTTGCCAAGTCAAGCTGCATTTATGGTCCTCTTAGATTTGTAGGGTTGCCGGCTTCAGGTTGGGAAACTCCTGAGGATCTGGGGATGGAGCCTGGAGAGGGGAGGGACCTCCGTGGGGTACAATGCCCCAGAGTCCACCCTCCAAAACAGCCATTTTCTCCAGGGGAACTGATCTCTGTCATTTGGAGATGAGCTGTAACTCCAGGGGATCCCCAGGTCCCACCTGGAGGCTGGCATCTGTAAGTGAGTGTGAGCAAAAAAAACCCCAACTTTGAATAAAATAATGATTTTGTTTATATTGCAGTTAGATTGCATTATATGATTCTCTCGTTGGCTGCTGGAATGTTAGGAAGCAGCACTTGTTATAATTGCCCCATTAAGTCCAGGATTGCTTGTTGTATCTTTACAAGCATTGCAACCCTCCTTGGTGCTTGGGCATTGCCTGATTGCAATTTGGGAAGCCACTGAAAGGGGAAGCCTTCCCCAAATGATAAAATGCCATGTGCAATTGAAGCTAAAGACAAAGCACTATTATAGCTAAAACCAAATAGCCTGCCTGCTGTGAATTTGTATGAGCCTTTTGTAAAAAAAACGATCGCCCTTTCCACTGCAGCATTTTCTTGGCAAGTGTGCTTTGATAAGACATTGGCAATAATGGCATCTTCCCTGTTATGACACCCCTGTTATAACACATGACCTGGCCCAACAAAGTCTCATTTATGTCAGATCCGGCCCTCATAACAATTGAGTTCGACACCCCTGATCTAAAGGGCACTCTTAGTCTTTAAAGTGTCACTAGACTTCTGGATGAACCTAGCCTGATATATATTCCTTCACCAGCCTCAAAGTGGAGGACAGGGGCGAGCATTTCCTTTCCCAGACACTGGTTACACCAGGTATCAATAGATACGCGGTCCAACCAGAGACCAGCTTTGATTGTTTTTACCTTCTGTTGAGTACCAGGGACAAGTTAGAGATCCTGATGGTCCATCTGGCTTGCCAGTGGGATCCCTGGCAGAGCTGATTAAAGTGGTCTTGGAGTTAGTGTTGTGGGGCCTTAAGACTGATTGTCCTTGGAAGTTTCAATATACATGGTGAGGCTATGTTGTCAGGTCAAGTTTAGGACTTAGTGGCCATCATGACAACTATGGTGCTATCACAGGTTGTGATGGGCTGAACACATTAAAAAGGCATATGCTGGAGCTTCTTTTCTGTACCAAGTATTTTGCTGGTGCTCTAATTAGGGAGCTAGGGATTGGGCCCTTATCGTACTATCATTGTCTTCTGAAGGCATGGTGAGCTTGCTGCCTTCTCCCCACAAGGACCATGGAGCTGCTAGGACAAGGAACACCTGAATAGTCCACAAGAACAAGCCCTCCAAGAGGCAGTTACGGTCCATAGGAAAAAAATACTGTCCAGTATACCCCGACAGTATCATATGTGATATTCAGACCATTTCAAAGAAAATCCCTCATCAAAGGGTATAATAAGTCAAGGTAGGTACAGTGACCATGCAGAGTCTTTTTGCCTGCTAGATTTGATACCATTGGGTTGTGAACTTGTTCAGAGACTTTGGAGTCCGCTTAATACAAAATAGAATTTTGATTTGTGCATGATCATTGGACTGGACAATATTTTTTCTATGGACCATTACTGCCCCTTGGAGGGCTTGTGGACTATTCAGGTGTTTCTTTCAAGAATTATCATTCTGATGGTTTGTGAGACTTTATTATGTACATTACATTTTCTTGAAGTGTTTTATGTGTTTATATATTCAGTATATTTAATATATTTCTATTAGCATTATTACTTGTTTTTTGGGGGGAAATTGAGGAGTTTTACATTTATATATGTAGATCTATACTTTTCCTTCCCAGTTCGTTTTGTGGGTTTTAATTAATAGCTTTTGATGCTTTATGTTTTTATTGTTTTACTTAGTAAGCCACCTTGGACAGATACCCTGCAAAGGTGGCATACATTCTTTTTTTCTAAATAAGTAATAACCCCCTTAATGTCCAGGATACAAGGACATCTCAGACATTCCTGTTACATATTGTTCCTGTTTATAAATTATGTGAACAAACTAGGATATTATTTATTAATTATGTGAATAAACTAGGATATTATTTATTTATTTTATCAAATTTGATTTTAGACTACCTCCCCCGGAGGGACCGGGCTCAGGACAGTGTACAACATAATATCATATGAATATTATTAAAAACAGTTAAAACCAATAAAAACACAGTAGTACCAAAATATGATGTTAAAATTTCCTGATGGTGTCACTGGCCTCACGGGGATGCAGGGGGTGGGAGTGCCAGAGAAGATGGAGACTGTCACTGTCCTCAACCAAATGCCTGGCGAAGCATCTCTGCTTTACAGGCCCTGCGGAACTATATCAGGTCCCTCAGGGCATGGTCGTTATTCGGCAAAGAGTTCCACCAGGTTGGAGCCAGGGTGGAAAATGCCTTGGCTCTGGTTGAGGAGGACAAAAGGAATCAGATCCTTTGCTTCCTGAGCCTTCATTCCAAAGAAGGAAGTACATTCTGTTAGAGAAGACTGTATACTTAACAAATGAAGGACAAAAAGTGTTCCTTGGTTAAGGGACAATTCTTGCTTCTTGCACAGTTCATTCACATAAAAAGTTGAGCTCATCAACTTAAATTCATGGGAATTCATGAAAAGGGCATATAATAATTATTAAAATCTGCATTTATCTCAGAAATGTCAGTACAGAAGAATTACTGTTTCTGACCACTAGAGGAGGCTAGTTGAATGCAGAGATTGTTATATGTCCTTAGCACTTGTTTAGTTTCTCTAAATCTCTTAAACTCTTAAAGTTCCAAAAGAAGAGAAGAGATTGGATTTATATTGGATTTATACCCTGCCCTTCACTCGGGGTCTCAGAGCAGCTTACAAACTCCTTTCCCTCCCGCTTCCCACAACAGACACCCTGTGAGGTAGGTGGGGCTGACAGAGCTCTGACAGAAACTGCTCTTTTTCAAGAGCAGCTGTGCCAGAACTATGGCTTGCCCAAAGTCATCCAGCAGGTGCAAGTGGAGGAGTGGGGAATCAAACCCGGTTCTCCCAGATTAGAGTCCGCGCACTTAACCACTACACCATTCTGGCAAAAACTGTTGCATTGGCCCACACAAAATACAAAACAAGAAAACTAATACCCTTTAGTTAAATGGATTTGTTTTCTTGTTTTCAAGTCTTAAATATTATGAGATAATTCAGTCCTTCACTTGTTCTTCCATCTGGAAAAGACATGGCTGTCCATATAATTTTAGAACATCAGATTTATCTATCATCTATAACCATTTTTGTAGCCATATGCATTACATTTTAGAGTACATTAGAAAACATACTTAGAGCCTGACTAGGCATTATAAGTAGCACAAATTCACCATGGTGGTGAGTTCCCAGTGGCAATCTGTGAATAAATGTGCAGCAGGGCCCGATTCTGATCAAGTCTGCTGTGCAGGAGAAGGGGACATTCCTGCCTTCTCCCCTGTGTTGTTTTTGGCAGTTGAAACAGCCTGGAGGGCATAGGGGGAGTGTTATTTACTCTGTGGAGAAGAAGTACATGTACTGGCTCCCAGTGGAGCAAATAACACTCCCCCCCCCCCCCCCCAGCCCCTGGGCTGTTTCAATTCCCAAAAACCAAATACACACACACAGAGAAGAGAAGACAGGAATTCCTCCTTCTCCAGCACAGCAGTCCCAATCAGAATCATGCCCTAGTGCACAGTTACTCACAAGTGGCCACCAGAAACTTGCAACTACAGTATAGCTGCAAGACCCCATGGCAAACCGCCATGTATTTACTAAGATTTTTTCATTTTTATCTTGTTTTCAAGATGTAATTTCTCATGTTAATTCAAAGGCTTCTGTACTTTTAGGGGCCATTTGTTCAGCAGTATGCTCAAGGGCCAAATTTTGAGCAGAAAGTCTAGTTTAGTGGTGCCATCTCTTTCCAAACAAGCCTGTGAAGTGTCTCTGTCCAGATTAAGACTGTATTTTAAATTATCAAATGATAATCTGTGTTAGTCATTTTGTTCGGCTTTTATTTGGTTTTAACTACTTTTCTGCTGTGTTTGTTGTCTTTTAATTATTTTTTATTGTACTATTTATTCTAGTTGCATAAAACTGACTTTGGATTTTCTTTTTACGTGTTTATTACTTCAGGCACTTCTTTGAAGAAATAATTCCTGAATAAATATTCCCCCTCAAGCTATCCTGCATTTTTCTGCTTATCATTTTCTGCTCCCTGGATTTGCTCCACTTTCCTTTTCCAGGAATGTATCTAAATTCACAGTACCATATTTACTTGAAAGCAAGACAATTCTGTTTGTATGACAACCCCCTTAGGAAAAAGATAAGCCTATAGATAAAAGCAGATTCCCCTGCATTTAAGAGAATCTCCCCCCAAAAGAGATGAGCCCATCAGTCAGCCGGTATGAGGGGCCCTCCTCCCACCAGCCTCTTATCTTCATCTTCAAGCTCCCTTCCCACCCTGGAATCCTACCATCCATCGCTACCTCCCCATCTAACCACTTGCAATTCACTCTTCAGCCCTGAGGAAAGTGACCCTTGTCAGCTGCTGCAATTCCTCCACCAGATAATTAGCTGGACATGCTTTCTCGACTAGGTGCCACACAGCAGACACTATGGTAACCTTTGTGGAGCTAAGTGCTTCCTGGGGCTGCTGCTGACACTCATGGCACTGCCCCAGGGGTCATTGAGTGGGTATGAAGTGGAGCCATTTTGCTTTTCCCTTCACCTACTCCATCTGTGCGCGTAGCCCATGTGGGCTTTTCCTTCACCTCTGCTCCCAAGTCAGCACAGATCAGCCTCCTTCCCTTCCTTCCTGCCCACCCAGTCCATGGAAGGCTTCTCTGTACTCAGGGTGGCTGGGTCATGTTGGCTGCTTCTAGCCTCCTCCCCAGCTGATGGAGTTGCTGGCCTCTCTTCCTCTGTGGCTTCTCACTTGACTAATGTCTGAAGGCTGGCAGAGTGGCCGCCCCCACACCCCACCACAGCAGAACTTACCAGTAATTGAATGGGAGCAACTTTATAGATCAGTAGATTTTAAAATTGTCTTGTTTTCAGCTAAATACAGCATTGTGGTTAGTCTCCTTAATGCTAGAGAATAACATTCTGGCTCAAATCACTGTGCAGATCTGCTCATTTTAATCCATGCTGTAATAACATGAGGGAAATAAAGTGCTTTTAAAACACAGCCTAACAGGTAGGCTATTAAAAATAAATACAGCCTAAGCATAATAAATCCACACTACTGAGAACCCAACCACTCTAGGTCTCTCCCCCCCCCTTTTATGCCTAATTAGGTAGAAAATATTTCCCCTGTCACCAAAGGGCTATTCCAAACAGCTGAATCATCTCCAAGGACCATGGAGTGCTTTGGTTGTGATTGATTACCATGCGCTTGTAAATCCTAAAAGAATATTCCTAGCAGCTGCTGATAGTACTAGGAGCTTTTTTTCTTCTTGTTGTTGTCTTAATTCCATATGATTTTGAAATACTCTGATTGTGAACTTCCCCAAGGTTTGTAATCTTTTTTTCCTTCTCCCTTACAATCCAGTTTCTGTAAGTATTACAAATCTCTACCCTGGCTGTGAGAATGTTAGTGTGAGAAGCCGCAGCATGATGTTTGAGCCAGGCCTGACCAAAGGGATGTTGGAAGTATTTGTTTCTCCTGCTCACCATTCCCACTGTTCAACGGATGATCAGTCTACAAAGGCCATTGATGTACAGAATGCTTATCTGAACGGTAAAATATGGATTCATAGCGTAATTATTTACTTTTAATGCAACTGGCATGTCCTCAGTACACAAACATTCCACATTGAAATCTCCACAAGTGTTACATTGGACATTTGAAGCAGCTTAGTGTGATTTGATTTTTTTTTTTGGGGGGGGGACTAGTTAACGCCACCATAATAAATGCTGAAGATGAGATAGTGACATCAGCTTTACTTCTGGGTTTGGTTAGGGGAAATGAATTGCCAATTAAACACAAGCTCATTCCCAAGATATTCTATATGAGATCTGAATAGGTGTGATATAAATATCAAGATTTTTTTTCTGCAAAGGATTTATTGGAGGCAGCAGATTAATAATTCTATTATGTTTCCCTGGAGCATTAATTCTATTATAAGTAATGAGCCTGAATTATCAGCTGTGCGCATGATTTAGTGTTAATGTCTGAAACGAGTTTCTCTTTTCTCTTATCTCCTTTTCTTCCTGCCTCTCCCTCTGAGCTACGTTATAAAGAGCTCCTAAAATCTGGAATACTTCCAGAAGAGCATCCAAGGCTAGAGAACCAGCCCAACAGAAATACTCTCAGTCCCTGCTTACTTTTGTGCCACAGCATCACTCAAATAGGAGGCAAAGGATGAGGATAATTTTTTCCCCAGCTTTGATTGTAATCCAAGCTGGAGAAGATAATGTTCATTTTGACCTGGAAGAAAACATTGCAAGCTGTGAAAATTAATATTTCTTGCCCAGGAATTATAGATGCCATCATTACTAATAAGTAAATAAAGGCCCCGTTCACACGGAGCAGAAGCCACGCTAAATAGACGGAAGAGAGGCGGAGTTACCTGGCACGATCACACGGCAACATCTGGGGAGCGTAGAGCTCCCGTGGTTGAACTGTGGCGAACCGCCGATAAAACGGAGCAAAAAACTAGTACCTCGGAGGTACTAGTTTCCGGAAACTGCGGGGCAAGGGCGGGCGTCTGATCGCGTTTCCGGTGGCATCCGGCGCCCGTCCATGTCCCCTTGCGAAGAAGGTTTTTTTTTTCCCCAAGTCTCCGTGGTTGCGCATAAGCACTCAACGGAGCATGCGCATTCGTAGTGTACACAAAAAAAGAAACCCAGTTCGCCGCGCCGCGCGCTTCTTCGTTGCGCGCAGGCATGTGTTGTGATCGACGCCTCTCCGTAACCACGGAAGCTCCACGGTACCTCCACAGAACCTCCACAGGAGGTATGATCACTTTACTGCGTGTTAGTTTGCCCCGGGGCAAACAGCCACACTTCTCCCCCGCAGTTTCCTGCGCGTGTGACCGGGGCCGATGTTCCTTATAGAGCCCATGGAAAATCTTCACTAAGAGAAGGCTCTTCTGTCAGCGGAATGGGATATCTTTGCCTTCCGCTCCCACACTAGCCTAAAATGATCCCTGCTGGTCCTGACTCGCCCCAGTACAGGAGGAGGAGGGGTGTCAGGTTTGCAGCAAGAGGAGGTAATTGGCAAGAAAAACTTAGATCCAAGCTACTAGCTAAAACACACAGTAGCTGAAGTCCTACAGTAAGTTTTCCTTCAGCTGTGTAGCTAAAAAGTAGCCATTCCATTGTCAAATGCTTATGTGGTTTTCCCTAGGAAATATTTCTTTATAAATAACATTAATTACAATGTACTGAACAAAAAATTAACAAATGCCGATTTCATCTTCATCAAAACACAGCTGGTCAGGATAAAAAGCACTATCAGTGCCCATAAAATGGCAATTAGCAACCAGCTGTGATTATTATAATCCTGCTCTGATTTTGCAGAGTAAGCATTACTCATTTTCAGTCATGAGAAACACAAATTGTGATTTATTTTTTTTACTTCACATTATTCTTTTTTGGCAATTGAAGCAGCACAGTGTAATATATTTAAGAATCTGTCAAGCAAGAGAAAACTCAAAGCGTTATACATCTGATGTGAATGTGAGAGTATGTTTTAAAGAAGGTTACATACTGCATTTCTGCAAGAACGAGAGTTTTATCAATTTGGCATATTGTCAGATGATTAGGGGAGGGGCTATGGCTCAGTGGTAGAGCATCTGCTTGGCATGCAGAAAGTCCCAGGTTCAATCTCCAGCATCTCCAGTTAAAAGGACCAGACAGGAGGTGATGTGAAAGACCTCTGCCTGAGACCCTGGAGAGCCGCTGCCAGACTGAGTAGACAAGACTGACCTTGATGGACCAAGGGTCTGATTCCGTATAAGGCAGCTTCATGTGTGTTTCTGTAGGAAGGCTCTACTCCCCACCCCCAAATCATACTAATGTAAAAAGCATTATGTGCAGAAATCACTAAGTTACTGTTGTGGATGAGCCTGTCTCATTTTGACTGCAGTCTTGCAACCAGTTGCTCATGTTCAAATCAGTTGCTCATGTTCAAATCAAATATATATATGGATACAGGCCTGCCACTTCTTTCTCTCTCTTTTTAAAATTAATATATGGTCACAGATCTGCGTCATGGCACCCTTGGGTATCATGGAAGCTGCCAATATTTTCCTTGGTTCCCACTGAGCTTTTTAAAAAGTGGGTGGGGCCACTGTAAGGCAGGATTTGTTATTGGCTGCACTCATTCAAATTAGTGGGCTTTCAATGACTGTAATAGTAGCCACAGCCACTGAAGGATCAAGAGACTGATAAATTCCTGGGCTTTTCTTAATCACTGTGTGATTCCGTTTACCCTTGTCTTCCCCCTCTCTTAGGCTTTCCTTCTTTTTATGACTGCTTCTGTTTCTCCCTCACTCCTTAGGCTTTCTTTAATTTCTTTTTATTATCTTTCTTTAATTTCTTTTTATTCTCTTTCCCTCCTTTCTTCTTATTCTTTTTCCCTGCCTCCCCTCCCTCCCCAAGCATTCCTTTGTTTCGTTTTATTTCTCTCTTCTTTGAAAAAAAAGCTTTTATTTTAAAATGTACAGGGAAACATTTTTAAAACACCCATCCAAAGCCATATTAATATGGAAAGCCTGAGAGAAATTTAAATAATGTGATAATAATCACTAAATTAGAATGTCACCAAGAATGTTTGGCTGTCAGAGCGAAGACATTTCTGACCTTCATAGACTTATTCACTAGCCCTGTTCACATGTTACAGTGAACTCATGTACATCTTGCCGGTGTGTGTGTACCTCTGTCTGAAAGAAAGAACCAACATGCATTCTCTTCTTATAAGAATCCAGTGACCAGTATCTGGATAAATGTGGGGTTCATATCACACATTCAGTTGTACGTGCATTGACTGTTCAAAGAACAATCAAGTGTGTACTATACACAGATTTTACTTGTGTTCACTGTAAACCTGTGAACAGCATTAGTATATTCTGCTTCCTATGTTCTTAGTTGGATAAAATAAGATGGAAGGGGAGTGATGGCGTAGAGTCTTACAGTGCAGGGAACTGGGCTCAATGAGGGAAGATGAATGTTAAGGAATAGAAGCCCACCTCCTCCTTTTCCAAGCTTGCTGTCCTCTAGGGTTGCCAGACCCCTGGTCTGGGTGGGATTCCCGCGATTTTTGGGGCTTCAGCCCACAGCTAGCCTGTAGGGGGAAGCCCCACCCCCGAACAGGCACATTGTGCATCAATGTTGTCAGTGTGATATGTCACATGGAAGTGACATCTTCACACCAGGGGCATCACACAGTGACGCTCTTGCATTTTGGCCAAAACACTATGATAATGTTGCCCCTCCCCACTCCCGGAAGATTAGTACTAACCTTGGCATACCAGTGACCAGCTTCATGTGTTCAGCATGCTTAACAACTATTTTGCAAAGTGAGGAGGGAGGGATTGGCTTTGGCTCTCCTTCCCGTAACAGCCATTTGAGGTTTGGCTCCAGCTCCTGTGGCAGCCATTTTAGGGTAGTGCTCACTACCTCCTTTCAAAATTCCAGACATGAGCACAGGCTTAAAAATGTTAGGGGACCCCTGATGTATGTAGAGATTCTTTTCATCTTACTGGCTTGACATTTATTTGCTTTTTGCAGGAATTGGTGATTTCAGTGTATGGGAATTCTCTGGGAATCCTGTATATTTCTGCTGCTATGATTATTTTGCTGCCAATGACCCCACCTCAGTTCACATTGTGCTTTTTAGTCTTGAAGAACCCTATGAAATACAGTTGAATCAAGTGACCTTTTGGCTTAGTTTCCTAAAATCGCTTGTTCCTGTTGAAGAACCTATAGGTATGCTATATATGTAATTTACTCTGCTACCCCTTCATCATTGGAAGAGAAAAGGGCAACTTGTTTCTCTTTGGTTTAGTGGATTCTGTTTGTTGATTCATGTCATATCTTTGTATTATAATATTTTATTGATACAAATTTAATTTTGTACACAATGTCATTAAGAGTGCTTCTTTAATGTCATCACTGGACTAATATTTTAATTGGTCACATTACTTGGAGGTACTTATCAACCATAACAGTAAATTTAATTATTCTATATTTTGAAGAGGTTTAAATTTGTTTGTTTTGGACACCATTTGTTTAACTATCACAATAAAGCACTCTTCCATCTATCATGACAATTTGTTGGAAGAACAAAGTCAAGACGCTTGGCTTGTTTCCAACATCCAGAAATTCTGGCTGAATTAGTGATGTTGATAATGTATGTGTTCAACAAAGACATTTATGAAGTGTTCTTATTACCTTGAAGCTGTCACGTTTTCCACTGCTTACTAACAGTATGAGATCTTTTTCTAGCACTGTAATAGTCTTCCTAATCCTAAAGGCTTTTTTAATTACTCATATCCAGAGTTTAAAATTGCAGTGCCTTTTCATAGGTCAAATATATACATTACCACATTTCCTAAGAAACTCAAGTTGTCTGTATGTTTCTCATAAAATGCAGAAATATGGAATGATCTCTGTTCCAATATCCACAGTCACTAAATGCAAACTAAATCTTCCTTGTCTTGTGTTATATTTTATGTACATATTTAAATATGTGTATATACTGTGTGCATGCACACACACATATCTAGAAAAGTGAACCATTACAGAAAGTAACAAAACTAAAATTTATCCTGCTGCAACCCTCCTAAATATCCCAACATAGTTTGGTAGAGTACTTTTAATAATTTCATGGAGAATGTGTACCATTTCCTTCAAAGTCAGAAAAAAGCTTATTCCTGGCTACCTACACATACATAAGTTTTACTGAGAGTTCCTAGCTGTGCAAGAGTTTCCACTTTGGCTCCCAAATGCCTACTCACAAATGATTTCATGCACATATCAAAGTGGCTAAAGATCAGCTTTGAATTCGATCCCACATATTGACTTCAGGGTATTTATTATTTCCTTAAGGTTTATCAAGAGAAAAAGAATATAAATGAAGTGCTGTATTATATTTACATTCTGTGGAAATCAAGGAAGTTTAAGTACCCTTATCAGGACTCTAGATTACATGTGAATGACTTATGTAGTTGGCATTTGCTTGTCCTCTTTGATGTTAATGTTTGTAAACATGACAAAATAGGTTTTTAGTGATGTATAAGAAAGCAAGCTGTACGCGTTTCTGTTCAGTGCTGTTACCTCATTCATGTGCCACTTGTATCTCTTTCTTTCATTCTTTTTCATGGTAACTCCCAGGCTTTCCTACTTAACTCTCACTTAAGTGAGAAATCTTTGTGTAAGTACTGTAAAGTTGCATTGATACCACCATATGAATGATTTTTCGAACATATTTTCCTGCATATAATAATCTCAGTTGTCACTCTGTAGTACTGTACACCAGCAAAGCAAATGAAAGATATTTTTAATGTTGATAAAAAGTTCCAAGTTGGTCCAAAACAAAATAAATTACATACAATGCCCTTTCTGAAGACCAATCAAAATGAGCAAAGCTTCCACACTTCTGTGTCATTTTTGTTGGTTTTCATAAAGGATATGTGTTTGGATTTTTTAAAAGTGGCTGTCCAAAACAAAAAAACCTACATTGTCCCTTTCCCAAATCTGTCTTCTGTTTGTAGTGAAAATAGATGGCTTATGAGTTCCTAAATGCTTTTTCCTTGTTTGGGAAAGAGAACACTTTGACTATTTGTGGCGAATATCCATCTTTGTGTTATGGAGTGTGACTTAAACTAGTGAAAACTTGTCTTTTAAGGCTGAGAATGTTTATAAGAAATACATAATCCATCCATCCTTGACTCAATCACAGTAAGATTTTTTTTCTTCTTGAAGCATTTGGAGGAAGGCTGAAAGCCCCACTGCATGTTGTGTTGGTGGCTACCCATGCCGACATTGTCAATCTTCCACGTTCTGCTGCAGGAGAGTTTCATTATGACAAAGATACATCACTTCTAAAAGAAATTAGGAACAGGTAAGAGGAAAAATGTAGTACAAAATATAGCACTGGGTAATGAATGAAAATATTAAGATGTTTTTACGTATCTGTCAAGACATTGAACTGAATTGAGTTGTTTTACAAAAGACTGCTTTCATAAGTACAGGTAAAGAAATTCTAGTGACTTCATACTGCTGTTACTTTTACTGTGAGCTTTAAGACTGCAACTGTGTGCTCACTTTTCTTGGAATATAGCCCCTTGAATCTTATAGTACTTCCCTCTTAGTAAATCTGCATGGGATAGGAATGCAAAAATATTACAGCATATCTGGTCATTTAAAAAAAAAATAAATGTAAAAATAGGAAAATAAAGCTACCTCTTAAACTGCAAAAAAAAAAAGTATATTGTCTCTTAGGTTTGGCAATGACCTCCACATTTTGGAGAGATTATTTATTTTGGATGCTGGTGCATCTGGCTCAAAAGATATGAAGATTCTCCGAAACCACCTTCAGGAATTACGCAGCCAAATTATCTCTGTAAGTTAAGATCTCCATGATAAATTAAGTTCAGAATTTTTCAACTTTGAATGTAAGTTACCTTGTGGTATAGGTATCTGGGGAACAAGTAGAAATATGACTTGGTGAAGCTATGTCTGTGGGGATTCATTCATCTCAATCTCTAGTGCCCTCTGGTGGTTACACAACCATTTTACATTTATTCTCTTTTGGATGAAAAGAAATAGGAAGATATTTTATTGTAGAAAGATGGGAGTAAAATTAGACTGCAAACATGTTTTTCTGATTTTACAAAATCAGACTTTAATAAATATTTTGTAATGCTTATTGCAATAAAGCAGGTTTATAACGTGCCTTTGCAGTATATCTGCATCTCTCTTATACAACATGTTCCCAGAGCATTCTGTACTTATCAATAACATTAGCCCAATACAGATGACCCCACCACCACTGTGCATTGTCTGAACACAAAGGGAGGGACAGTGGGCACAAGAGAGCTCCCATCTCCACACAATTGCCTGATTGGCTGCAGTATGTGAATGCGTGGAGGAAGTGGCTGTGCAAATGCTCCTCCCTGTGATAAGCAACATTCAGAAATCAGTGTTGCTGATCACAGGGAGGGAGCATACACACAGCCACTTTCTCCATGTGATTACGCCCTGCAGACCTTCAGGCAGCGGCATGGAGGCAGGGGATAGAGTAAATGTGCTTGCTCTCCCACTCTGAGCATTCAGTCAGTGTGCAGGTGGGTCATCTTTTCCACTTTACCACAGTTGTGTTCTACCATCTGTCCAAGCAATTCAGGGTGGCACTGATGGGGCATATGTTTGAATAGTAAGCATCTGAGTCTGCATTCCAGAAGTAGAATTAATGTCCACTATGGTATTTCTCATAGACATGTCCACCGATGACTCACTTGTGTGAAAAAATCATCTCTACCCTACCATCATGGAGAAAAATGAATGGACCCAACCAGCTCATGTCATTGCAGCAGTTTGTATATGATGTCCAGGATCAGCTTAATCCATTGGCAAGTGAAGATGATTTGCGACATATTGCCCAGCAGCTACACAGCATAGGAGAAGTAAGTAATCTACATTCTTGTAATGTTAACTGGATAGTCACTTCTACATACTTTATAGACCTTTATTCATATTCAGAGTTATCATTTTTTGGCATTGCTTACTAGCCACTTAAACTTGTGGCTGCGAGTAACTCTTCATCTCTCCATATCCTCTGCATATTCCAGAGAACTCACTGAAGGAAGATGATGCCTCATAACATGGTGAATTTTGGAACAGCCAAAAATCGCTTAAAAGTTGTGCGATGACCTCTGCCCGGGGGGGGGGGTCTCCCACAAGGGTTTCCTGTGCTTTAGAGGAGGTAAAAGCCGTGTGAGCTGCTCTTGCCTGTTCCAAAGCACAGCACAAAATAAGAGACCCATCCTCCCCTTACTTGGATTGGCAAAGAACAGTTTCACATTATGATGACCAGTCCTTGTTCAAGAATAGCGTTTCATAGAATGCACATTATGATGACCAGTCCTTGTTCAAGACAAGAATAGCATTTCATAGAATAGCATAACAACTAAATTTCCTCGGCTTACTGCTGTTCTATATTTAGTAACTAAAGTCTCAGCTCCCCCCCGACTAGAGCCCTGGGCATAATAACTAAATTTCCTCGGCTTGCTGCTGTTCTACATTTATTAACTAAAGTCTCCGATAAATTGTGTCCAAAGTCTGATTCCTGAGGAGATGGTTCTGGTTGAATAGTTCAGTTTAATGTTTTAGTTAAAGTAAATTATCTGTATAAGCAGAAAGTTTCATTATTCACAGTGCTTTACAGGCCTGGTATGATTTTGTCTTCCAAAGCAGAGGCAGAGCTGGCAGGGCTGTGTGTGTATGGCACCATTCCCTACAAATGCAGGATTTGTTATTGAATGTGTACCTTTTCCAACTGAGAATCTGGATATGTTTGGCAAGATAACAAGCCATGAAGAAAGGTCATGTGTTGTTTTCTCCCTGTATTTGACCTGTGACTTTCTCTTACTGAACAGATCAATATCATGCAGAGCGAGACAGTCCAAGATGTTGTTCTTCTGGATCCTCGGTGGTTATGTTCAAATGTCCTTGGAAAACTTCTGTCTGTGGAGAACCCCAAAGCCCTCCATCATTACAGAGGTCGATACACTATAGAGGACATCCAGCGTCTGATACCAGACAGTGATATAGAAGAACTTATACAAATCTTGGATGCCATGGATATCTGTGCTAGAGATCTCAGCAGTGGAACAATGATAGATATTCCTGCCTTGATCAAGACTGACAGCCTGCATAGGTCTTGGGCTGATGAGGAGGATGAAATTATGATTTATGGTGGTGTTAGAATTGTTCCTGTGGAACACCTGACTCCGCTTCCTTGTGGAATCTTCCATAAAGTTCAGGTGAATCTGTGTAGGTGGATACATCAGCAGAGCACAGAAGGAGATGCTGACATACGTCTGTGGGTAAACGGATCAAAGATCATGAACCGTGGAGCTGAGCTGCTTGTGCTTCTTGTCAACAATGGTCAGGGTATTGAAGTTCAAGTCAGAGGACTAGAAACTGAGAAGATCAAATGCTGCTTATTGCTGGATTCAGTATGTAGTACCATTGATACCCTGGTAGCTACCACGTTGCCAGGACTCTTAACAGTCAAACATTATCTCAGCCCTCAACAGCTAAGGGAGCACCATGAGCCAGTAATGATCTATCAGCCAAGAGATTTTTTCCGTGCACAAAGTCAAAAAGAGACTTCGTTGACTAATACCATGGGTGGCTATAAAGAAAGCTTTAGCAGTATTTTGTGCTTTGGATGTCTTGATATCTACTCACAGGGAAGCTTGGGGATGGATATCCATGTATCAGATCTGAATCTGCTTACAAGGAGGAAATTGAGTAGACTTCTAGATCCGCCAGATCCCATGGGCAAGGACTGGTGCCTTCTTGCAATGAACTTGGGCCTTCCTGATCTTGTTGCAAAATATAATACAAACAGTGGTAGTCAAAATGACTTCATCACAAGCCCATCCCATGCCCTTCTGCAGGAGTGGGGGAATACCCCTGAGAGTACTGTGGGTGTCTTAATGTCTAAGCTGAGGGAGTTAGGCCGCAGAGATGCAGCAGACTTTTTACTGAAAGCATCTTCTGTGTTCAGGGTCAGTTTAGATGCTAATGGCCATGAAGCCTACGCTTCCAGCTGCAACAGTGGAACATCTTATAATTCAATCAGCTCCGTGGTTTCCCGGTAAAAGCAAATGCCAGAAAGCACACACTGATCTAATTGCAGATAGTGAAGGAGGATTCAGTATGGCAGTATGTATTTATAAGTTTCGATATAAATGGGTCACGACCATCACTTTGTAAACAAACAGTCTTCCTATTTTTTTTAACTGTGACCTGTTTCTCTTATTTTACTTATTTATAAAGCTGGTGTGTTTCTGGTATTTTGCAGTCTGCTGCTAATTCTATATTGCGCTGCTTAAATACTGTCTTTTTAACTGAGGGGACTCCAGCTTTTTAGTAGCCAGCTGTGGTTTTTTAAATCATTTTTCCTAACAGAAGAAGTCCACACCTTGACTTTGTGCTCATTTCTTATGCCCTAACTTTTTCCATTGTGCTTGTTTAATTTAAAAGAAAAAAGAAAAACAAACAATGATAATCCGTTTGGATTTTGACGCCATGCTTAGAAATGAAAACGCGAGTGCCTTTGCAGAAGGTGAGTGGTTGAAATTAAGTGATCCTGCTGACGCTCTGAAGACAATGCTACCTCTCTTTCACTGTCCTGCATGGCTGGTTGTTACAAGTGGTGCTTGCCTTCGTGTTTTCTTGCTGTTTTAAGGTATTTGGTAACATGAAATTTGTTCTATCAAAAAGCTTTCATGTTGGATGCTGAGAAGGTACAAACATGTCATGCATTATCAGTTTTTATTTCAGTTGAAGTGGAATGAAAACTAAAACCCACAATTTTGCACCTTCCATTATTTCCACGTATCTCAGGAAAAGATGTTACACAGTTGTAGAAATCACCACAGCACACATGCACACAAACAAGTGTTAGCTGAACAGACTTTACTCTGTATTTAACAATGATCCATTTGGAATGAAGCAAATGGTTTTTCACTTTCAAATATTGGTGTGCTTATTTCTTATACTTGAAGGTTTGCCTTTTTTTAAGGAAAGCAAGAAGTTCTTGCAGTGAGAGATTTTAAAATTGGTATGAGGGAACAAGACCATTTCTTCTGTCTCAAAAGCATGTAATTTTAATGGTACAAGATATATTGTGTATATACATATATATTGTATGTATATATATTAATACTGTTTTTCTTTAATCTTTGTTGTAGTAAGATTTTAAAGGGTTTTTTTACAAATAAACCGTTGCTTGTTGCCTCTTTGTAATCACTTCTCGTTTATACCTCCTTTTGTCTTGTTAACCCACAAAGGTTCTTTGAACTGAAACCTATTTGATGCTGATGGTGACAACTCAAATCCAAGAGCCCTTGCTCTGACACCTGCTTTACATGCTGTAGTTTTCTAATGGCTAAGTATGGCACACCTTTTAGCAAAACAGTACTAAGAAGTAGGGTTGCCAGCCTTTAGGTGGGGCCTGGAGATCTCCTGCTTTTACAACTGATCTCCAGCTGACAGAGCTCAGCTCCCCTGGAGAAAATGAAGGGTACCCTACTGAGGGCCCTCCCCTCCCGAAAGCCTGTTGTCTCCTGGATCCACCCCCAAAGTCTCCAGGTATTTTCCATCCTAGTCCTGGCAACCCTACTAACAAGGCACTAGGGATGCCAACCTCCAGGTGGGACCTGGGGACCCCCTGGAATTACAGCTCATCTCCAGACTACAGAGATCAGTTACCCTGAAGAAAATGGATGCTTTGGAAGGTGGACTCTATGGCATTCTGCCTCACTGTGGTCCCTGTCCTCCCCAGGCTCCATTTCCAAATCTTCAGGACTTTCCCAATCTGGATCTGACAACCCTACTCCCCCCCCATCCCCCACTGGTGGCCAGGGGGACCTGAGAGCCCTAAGGCAGCCAGTTTGGTGTAGTGGTTAAAGTGTGCGGACTCTAATCTGGGAGAATCGGGTTTGATTCCCCACTTCTCCACTTGCAGCTGCTGGATAACCTTGGGCAAGCCGTAGTTCTGTCAGAACTGTCCTTGAAAGGGTAGTTTCTGTCAGAGGTCTCTCAGCCCCACCTACCTCACAGGGTGTCTGTTGTGGGGAGGGGAAGAGAAATGAGTTTGTAAGCCGCTCTGAGACTTCGAGTGAAGGGCGGGGTGTAAATTGAATCTCCTCTTCTTCTAAACTGGTGCTGGGACGTAGGATTAAGGCTGTAATATGCTTCTGATAATTATTTGGATGTTGCAAGAAACAAAGCAAGAGGAACACCCTTGTTTTGTGTGTGTGTGTGTGTGTGTGTGTGTGTGTGTGTGTGAGAGAGAGAGAGAGAGAGAGAGAGAGAGAGAGACTTGTGCTTAGTAGAAAATAGGAAGGAGGTCTCAGAGACATGCAAAGGTGAATATATATGCAAACATGTTTTTCAGATTGGATTTCCTGAATAATCTGTTTGTTGTGTGAAAAGGAAATGGTTTTCTGAGTAAATAGAATAACTTCTGGACAAAGTCTGTGTTCATTTCCTGTTGAGGGCACCATTGAGAATGATGATTTTGCAGAATTTGGGAATAGCAGTGGTAGCGCTGGGTGTGGTTTGTTTGCAGCATACTTTTATATAAGTGATGGTAAAAGACAGGAAAGCATGCAAGTTAATCACAGTCACCAGACAATAGTAGGCGGTGTAACTGTGATATAAGCAGCCCTTAATTTGTATTGTTTCCTATTTTATTGAATAGCCTTATTGGTAAGATGACTTTGTGTGAAATCTCTCGGTTTCTATTTCCAGTTGATTTCATTTAAGTGGTTTCTCTTTCCCAGCTTAAATTTCCATTGTAGGGGTGTTCATTTGGCCTATACCGAGCTGAAAAAAATAATTGTAATTTTTCCTCTTTTGTCTAATTTCAAATGGAATGTCCTTTAAGGTTTTGATGGTTATATTTCCCATTTTCAGTGGAGTTGCTGATGTTGCTTTTAAAATGGCATCTCTGGTGTCTTCTTGAAAACCTGACCACTATTTCTCCATGTAGGTTATTTTTTTAATGTAATTGGAGTATGCCCTATAGGCTGACTCCATTTTGTTTACAAGTTCCTCCGCTGTTAAACCTACTACTGGAGCGATGATCTCACTAAGCACCCTCTTCAAGTCTTCCCGATCCATTTCAGGAACCCCCTGAAACCTGAGAATCATGTTAGCTTTTTCCATCTGTAGCTGCATAACTTGATTCTAATCAAGTTATCAGCAATTAATTTAAGCTAAAATCAGGTTATTGGCAATTAATTATCAACAATAAACAGGTTCACCTCAATTTGATAAAAAGAGCAAGTCAAGTTATCAGCAATTAATTTAAGCAAAAATCAAGTTATTAATAATTAATTATTAACAATAAACAGGTTCTCTGCAAGTAATCAGAAGAGCTTATCGACTTACCAACACTCAGTTGTCAACAACGGCCAGATCCTTATCAATTAACTTCCAGTTGCAATTACAAGTCTACAATAAATATATAAATATTGATTTAAAACCTTTGAATAACTTGTTCACCAAAAAATACAGGTAGAAAGTGTCAGTGACTAGACCTTGCTCCAATCAACTTGAGCAGAAGATGTATCCTTATAGTCACTTAATAGTAAATCCCCCCTCCCCTCGCCCCCAGATAAAACAATATTAAAACACTGAACTGTAAACAGCTGTAAATGTGCCTTTCAAAAATATCAGACCAGTTCTACTGTCTATTGCTATCAACAACTTGGAGTAAGAAGGGTAAGACCAACCTTGGAAATGTGGTGTTGAACCCCAATAATGGGACAACAACCAGAGGAGGTCTTTTAAAATCAGAGGCAAAGATACCCTTCCCCCTCCCCTCCCCCCCCACAGCAGAAGCTGAACAATAAGATTAAACCAGCCAACATCAGTGTCTTTCCCAAGTTAGTGTACTGTACAAGATATAGCCTTAACAAGAAGAGAAAGTTACAGTTATGTCTAAACTGAGTTTTGCGTTGCTAATTTAAAAGGAGCAGACTCTAGGAAGCTAAACAGGGCGGGCAGGAGATTCATCCGCCGACATTGAAGAGCTGGAGTCTCGGGATAAGATCTTGTTGTTTTGTTCTGGAGTGGTTGGTGAGCGTGATTTTCATTTCCCAGATCTCTGGTATAGGTCAGAGCGCTCTGAGAGACGCAGCTTTTCTAGTAGCTCAAAACCTGAGTCCTCATCTGAAGCTGTGAATAAGGAGCCACGGTGTGAGACCTGCAGGCAGCCAGAGAGGAGCCATCTGTAATGCACCTTTTCTTCTTGCATCCTGTTAGTGACTGACTTTAAATTTTTCCTAATATTGAGAGCTTTCTGCGGCACATCAGGGAACACTAATACTTTAAAATCTTTAAAAGGTAGGAAGCCTCTGGCTCTCGCCTAGTCTTGTATTTTTTTCTTGGTTCTCCAGTCGGCAACTTGGATGATTAGATCTCTTGGGGCAGTATGTTTCGGGTTGAGGGGAGCCC